CTTGGTGACTTGGAACTTCAGCATGAAGTTTCCTGTCACAGGAAAGCAGGGAGCTGAAACTCTAAACCTTGGATCTTGGGTTATGACAAAAGAAACTTTAAAGTCAGACACCAAAAGCCATGGCAGAGAACTTTATTATCAGTGAAAGTAAAGAGAAAGTGAGGTGAAAAGAAAGTAAAAGCCGAATGAGGTTCAAGGAGAGAGAGAGAGAGAGAGAGAGAGAGAGAGAGAGAGAGAGAGAGAGAGCTATCTCCAAGCAGAAAACCAGAAAGGAGCCAATGCTGTCTCCAAATTTAGTACTGTTTTATGGTTGGCTTGAAAACTGGGTCCTACTTCAGCAACTTGCTCCATTCAGGTGTTCAACTCCTTCCTATGGGGTGGTGGGGTTTTGACTTAGTTGGTCCTCTCCAGAACTGACATGGTGGCCATCCTATTTAGGAGGGCTTCATCTACAAGTCAATCCTATGTTAATGTTGACCCTTCCATCTCTTCTTCTCTTACCCATTCATGCATTGAAACTCTGGAGGAGATTCTCCCATGTCCCTCCCTCATACAGGAAGTCCCCTTGCTCCAGGCAACATACACTTGGTCCACAGATGGCTCCTCCTTCCTTCAGGAGGGAGTTCCTCGGGCAGGGTAGGCTTAGTCTCTCTAACTTCAGTTGTGGAAGCAGCTCCCCTCCCCCATAATCAGAAGGCTGAGCTTGTGCCCTCATCAGAGCCTTCACTTTGGCAAAGGGAGCCTCCCTTAGTGTCTACGCCGACTCTAAATACACTTTGCACACACTTCTCTTCCACTCTGCTATTTGGAAGGAGGGAGGATTCCTTTTCATCTTCAGACTGTCCCAGGTGTCTCTTCACAGACCTTTCTCTGAACTGGAAGAAATCAAACTTGGCTCATTTTGCAGGCTTGCAAAGTACTCCTCTGGGGGACACTCAGCCACAAGGACCTGAGTGTGGAATTGGGCACGACCCAGTTTTGAGGATGGTAGAGGTCAAAATCAGGAGACAGATGGCTTCCCACAGCTACAACAAGGTTGGAGCCAGGAAGGAAACACTGCCATCTGCTGACAGGCAGGGGAAGACCCCGGGGAGGAGGTGAGTGGGGTGGCCTCCAGTCTCTGGACAAAGGAAGAACTCTATTTTCCTCCAAATCGTCCCAGAACTGGGAAGTGTTGCATAGTCACTTGTTTTTTTTTTTTTTTTCATTTTACTTAAATGTCCTAATGCACATGCAGCAAGAAAGGACAGATGATGGGTGGATGGAATTACAGTGCAAAGTTGTGGAAGTGGGATCCTCCTGCCTCAGCCTCATGATTAAAGGGATTAAAGGCATACACCACCATGCCTGGTGACTTGACTTGTTTGTAATTGAGTTACTTTACTGTGGAATTGTTGGAGCTATTTATATATTATGAATAATAACTTTTTATCAAATATACAATTTGCAAATATTTTCTTAGTTTATGTTTTCACTTTATTGATTGTGTTATTTGATGCAAAGAAGTTTATAAATTTGATACAGTTCAGTTTATCTATTATTTTATTTCATTTATTTTATTAGCTACACAAGACATTACAATGATCTTGGCAATTCATACACTTGAATCACTGGGGTATAATTTCACATTTTTTCTGATTATATAGATTGCAGAATCACACTGGTCATAGAGTCACCTATATCAGTTCAGTTTATCTATTTTCACTTTATTGCCTGTGTTTTTGGTGTCAGATCCAAAAAATGATTGTCAAATTAAGTATCATGAAGCTTTTCCCTGTTTGCTTCTAAGAGTTATTAAACTAGGGATATAGGCCTAGGGGTTTTTTTTGTTGTTGTTTGGTAAGTTTCTTTTTGTTTTCTTGTGTGTGTGTGTGTGTTGTGTGTGTGTGTGTGTGTGGTTCTGTGTGAGTGTGTGTGTGTTTCAGTGCTAGGAATTGAACCCAGGGTTTTGTGCATGTGAGAAAATCTCTCTACTAAGGGAGCTATATCCCCATCCATTATTTTTTTTTCTATTGAGTTTTCACAGGTTCAGATGTGAGCCTTGGAGAAATATACATCCACCACAATAAAACAACATTAAAAATGGTTCACAGGCAGAAGAAGTAAGCACTATAGAGCTCCACTGAGCTGACTCTGAACTTGAGAGTGTGCTGTATTTAGGATGATGAATGTCCCCAGAGGCCTATAGGGTGAAGGCTTGGTCCCCAGTCTATGGTACTCTTGAGACATGGTGGGACAAGGAAGGTAGGTCACTGGGGAGCACTGGCCCCCAGCCCTTTGCTCTTTCCCTCCAGGCTGCATTGCAGTGCAGTTCCCCCCACTGCCTGCTCTCACCATGATGTCCTGTCTCACCACAGGCCCAAAGGCACTGGGGCAAGTTACCATGAACTGAAATCATGAGTCAGAGCAACATTTTCCTCCTTATGTAAGTTCATTATCTCAGGTGTTTAGGTATGGTGACAGAAAACTAGCTCAGAGTCCCACCTTGCTGCATTGTCATGAGAACCATAAATACTGATTAATTTAATCCTAAAATTGTTCTGATAGAGAACATGATATCAAGCCATGATAACAAAATAGGAAGATGAAGGCCTCTGGAAGGTACTATACTAAAATTTAACCCACAGGTAGCTACAGACAGTGTTTATATGATTTCTACCTTTTAACATCAGGTGTTTATAGGACAGATGATTAAAGAGTTAAATCCATAAGTTCCAAAGTAGGAGAAAGGAGAGGTGACCATATCAAGTGACCACCTCCCATTCTCATAATGCCAGAGGTTTTTTTTTCCTTGTTGGCGTTTTATTTTTGTTGTACTGGGGATGAAACCTAAGGCCTCACAAATGCCTGTCAAGTTCTCTAGCACTGAGCCTCATCCCCACCTCCTCACACAACTTTCAATTTGTCTGGAGAGTCAACTGCAAGGGTATAAGATTTTCTCAGGTTTTTCAAGGAGATGGAAGGCTATAGTTAAGCAGACTCTTCAAACAGTCAGGAATGTTGGGGTCCTAGGCACCAGTCTGGTTTGGACATTGGTTGCCGCTGACCTCTGCATACAGAATAGTTTTTTCATTGCTTTTCTAAAGGAGAAAACTTTTAGCGGAACTTATTCCACCATTTTTTCTGACATCACTCTCTCTTTTTATATTGCTGTTTATACCATGCATAGTTTGATGGAAGTTGATTTCATGCCCCCTCATTGCAGAGCACAGACAGCAAAAAGAAAATGAGAGATGGAAGTAAAACAAAAAATTGCTCTATAAATACTATCAGTTTTTCCTTATACAATTATTTTTGCTTTATCAAAATAGACTTATTCTACATATATATTTAACACTTCTTGATACTTGGACACAGACTCATGATATATATATATATATTTATATTATCCCTCATTTTTGTTAGTCACGGAGTATTCCATTTCCAACATATGCAATATTTGTTGTCCAATCCCAGTTGATGGCCATCTGGACCTGGGTCCAATATTTTAAGCTAAGAAATTCATAATACAGTAGAATTAATAGGGGAAAACTCCATGTTATATGTGACACACCTAATAAACAGCATCACTGGCCATCCATGTGATATCTGACTAGCATTTTAGGGGCAAACAACCTCTCACTATTACAAACGTGCTCCAGTACATCTGTGTGAGCCCTTTTGGGCCCTGTGGGTACCTATGGAAACCTGAAAGAGAAAGTCCTAAAAACCGACTGCCATTCACAGAAGGTGTTCCAGTTTACCCTGCCACCACAAAAATTTTAGCCCTCTCAGCTTAGGTTTTAGAAAGGGGAAGTTCAAAGTCATCAGGAACAAAACTGAGATGCAATGCCCAACTCTAGCTGGACAGTGGCAGGTGTCCTGAAGCTTAAACATTGGATATTCCAGGGCCGTTCAGAAATTTGTGAGGCCAACTCTAGAAAAGACCAGAAATATATTAAGCAACTAATTCCTTCTTGAATTATAGCACCCTTTCTTCTACTTCCAAAGAACAAGCTGCTCCCAGCTCCATTTTTACACATCATTTCCTCTTTTGTATCCAAAAACTTCAAGCTCCATGCTATTACACATGTGCAGTACTGACTGCTATTGACAAATGGACCTGACACAAGGCCCCACTGAAGATTCACGAGCAGCTGCTAGAGCCAATCAACTGTGGACTCAGGGCCTCCTTGACCTGGTTCCACAACTAAACAGCAAGAATGCTTGTCGGAGACTCTTGCAGATCATGAAGGAGCAGAGTGGGGAGTCTGCCCTGCCTACATTTTAATCAGATTAGTCTGTTATCTTCCTTGAGTCCAGCAAGAACAAGACCCAAAGAACATGCAAGACAAATTCAGGTCATTCCTCCAGGGGTATTTGAAGCATCGAGGTATCTGAAAACTGTAGTTTCTGGGGCAACAGTCTTTTCACAGAGCCTAGGATGGAAGGGGAGCTCATGGTAGAATACAGGTTTAGCATGAGTGAGGTGATGCACTAAGAAGGAAGAGGGAGAGAGCAGCAGATAACAATGAAACAGCTTACTGCTCAGGCACAGTGGTGGCACATGCCTGTCATCAAATATACTCATGGAGGAGGGGGATCACAGTCCAAGTCCAGTCTGGCATTTGAGACCTTTTCTAAAAATAAAAGACGAAAAGGTTTGGGGATGTGGCTCAGTGGCAAAGCTCAACTGGGTTCAATCCCCAGTACCAGTTAAGGGCCTGGAAAGCTGCCAACTGACAAGAGAAACCACAGAAGCATCTGATGCATAATGTGACTCGTCCTAGAAAATGACCTGACCTCTAGCAGGTGCTTGCCGTGCTGGTATCTTCTCGAGTTGACTTACAAGAAAGCCTACAAATACCCTGTCAGAAACTGGAGGTGCCCTGCAGTGCTAGGGTGCATGCTCAGCAAGTGTGAGGCCCTGGGTTCAGAATCCAGGACCCAAAGAAAAACTTTGCCTAGAGTTGCCATTGAAAGAGCAATAAACCAAGAACTCAGGGTGCACATTCCTGGCTTTTTATTGAGATTCAGAGAGGATAGCCAACAGGCTCACTGTCCTGGTGTGCCCAGGCCCTCTATTGTGTGGTGACAGCATCTGTGACAATGTTGGTCACACTCTCAGTGACTTCCTTCACAACTTTCTCTCCCGACTCTTGGGCATTCTTTAAGGCTTCATCAAGGGCTATCAGGAAGAAAAACAGAGAAAAGGTTAGAGTGAACCCCTTGCTGTGCTCAGCATGTCACCTTGAGAGGCAGGGGGCTGTGGCAGTCTGACAGGAGCAACCCCTGGACACATCCCATGGGGCAGAGGCAGAATAAATTCAAACCTGGTTCTCCTGGGGCTGGGGTTGTAGCTCAGGGGTAGAATGCTGTCCCAGCATGCACAAGGCCCTGGATTCAGTCCTCAGTACCACAAAACAAATTTGGTTTGTATCCCCAACAACCTGCCTTTGTTCAGTTTGAGTGAGACTGAGTATCTGCTCATGGGTACACTGGATATTTATTCTTCATTTTTGTGTTTGAATCTTTTCCTCTTTTTTATATTGGGTTGTTAGATCAGATTATCATTTCTATTATAAATATTTTGCCTCCGTCTGTGGCTTTTGTGTGTATGTACTACTGTGGATTGTACCCAGGGGTTACTGCATGCTGGGCAAGTGCCCTACCACTGAACTACACCCCCAGCCCTGTTTCTTTTATTTTGAGACAGTCTCACAAAGTTTCCCAGGCTGGCCTTGAATTTACAATCCTTGTGCCTAAGCTTTCCAAGTGGCTGGGAATACAGATGAGCACCACTGCACCTGGCTTATCATTTTATATCTTAAATGTTTTGTCCCAGTGTGCTGCCACATGGTCTTTTGTGACCTGCTATTAATATTCTACAGAGAAGACTATCTGGGTGGAACCTTAACACAAGGATTAGTCTGAACCGATGATCAAATTCAGAGATAATTGCATACCAACAGAAAGGATGCAAAAAGGGGGTTGGGATGGTGACCTTATTGGGCAAAGAAGTGACTGGCCCCACCCAGCTTTCCTTTCTTCATCCTGTCCTCCATCTCTTCAACTTTTGGGGTTTTGTTGTTGTTGTTGTTGTTGCTGTTACAGAAATAAGAATTGAACCCTGGGTTGTTCTACACCTGAGCTACATCTCCAAACTCTTTTACTTTGATGTTGTGATAGGATCTCCCTAAAATGCCTATGCTAGCCTCAAACTGACAATCATCTTGCTTCAGTCTCAGTGGCTGGGATGGTAGGCATACGCTGGACTTGTTCTTTCTTGGTATCATGCTGAGTGCTGAAAACTGAATCCCAGACCTCATGCAGGCTAGGCAAGCTCTCTACCCCTGAGCTACATTCCCAGCCCTTCCTTCTGTCCTTCTCTCCTTCCTTTCCTTCCTTCTCTCCTTCCCGCTTTGCCTCTGCCCCACCCCCCAACCCCAGCCCTCAGTACCTTGGTCTCCATCCTCAGTGGTGTGCTCCACCACGTCCTTCACCACTTCCCCTAGTGCATCAACTGAAAAAAGGAAACCAATTCAGAGTGGGGCCACCATGCAAGCCTGCTTCCCTTCCCAGCACTTCTGAACACCCAGGATGGAGCTCCAGGATGCCACCCCCAGCCAATTCAGGCTGGCACAGAAGGGCCTGGTGGCTGAAAGGAGCTGAGGAAGCCCGATGAGGACACAGGGCCCTCCATGCTCCTCAGTCTGGCAGGGACTGAGAACAGGCAGTTTTGACACAGAAGGTCTCCCAGGTCTTCAGAGAAAAAGATCCAAACTGCCAGCTGACCACCGAGCACCTATGTTCCTTACCTGTCCCCAGGAGCCTCATCTGGCCTGGCCTCTCTTCTACCACGGATCCTGGATTAGGCTCCACAGGTAGAGAGGGCGGCTTGGGGCATGAGGCTCTGGGGGCTCCACCCTCAACTGCCTTCCCCAGCATCTGCAGCCCATAGCTCCATCTCTCCTGGTGGGGTGATAGGCCAGGGTTCCCAATGGGCCCTCAGCGGGCCTCAAGGCCTGGCCTGATTCCTGGGATCAGCTTGGGACAGGCCCAGTCAAGCCTGCCCTGACCCCACACAGGGGGAAAGAAGCCCTAGGTCCTTACCAGCTTCCTCAGTGGCCTTTTCAGTGCGACGGGCCAGGTTGTCAGCCGCTATTTGCCCCAGGAGTCCCAGCATTGTGCAACAGCAGGCAGTGACAGATGGATGCTGGGGACTGAACCAGTGTGCTTTTATAGATAACTCTGATGTCTCTCTAAGCACCAAACCCTCACCTGACCTGTAGGAAGCTGGGCAGGTGAGTCACTGGAGAGGGCAGCAAGAGGAAGAGGCTGGGTGGGGCATGCCAGTGCTGGTCAAGCACCTCTTGCAGTGAGACACCCCACAGTGCCCCCACCCATGTCCTAGGATCCCTGTGGAGCAGAAGGACAGGGATCAGGGCTGAAGCTGAGCAAGAGAAGTCAGCTGAGCCAGGGCCCTGAGCGCTCGGAGACAAGGTCCTACCAGCTCAGACCCTGGTATGCAGCTGGTGAAACTGCCCAGGCTGCTCAGTCTGCTAATCAAGGTTCCCAGTGTAACCTAGTCAGGATTTTGGAAGTTCTAGGGACATGGGGACTCAGGTATCCCCTGAGGTCAGGCACACAACAGTGGTGGGCTGGCTGGGGTTGTAGCTCAGTGGTACTGCACTAGCCTAGCATGTGTCAGGCACTGAGCTCAATTCTCAGCACCATATAGAAACAAAAATAACAAGAAAAAAGTCCATCAACAACTACAAAAAATATTTTAAAAATAAGTAGTGGTCACCAATGCCCTTCCTATTCTAAAGTACCTGGGCTCTGCAAATAGAGAAGGTAACTGCATTGAGCCAGGTAGTCACCCAGACTTTCCAGTCAGTGGACTATCATTCACTCATGCTCCAGAGTTGCCCAGTACTGGGGCAGCCAGCATGTGGAAGAATCCTGGGTCCTCTCTGTATTTTGAGGATCAGTCTGTAGGGGAGGTTCTGCAAGGTCAAAAGGTCACATTCCAGGTCCTAGAGTAGACCCAGGAGGTTCTGTGGACCTAGCTGGAATTCCACAGAAAGCAGCTTTCCTGGCTCCTTACACATCACACATGGCACAGGCCAAGTTGCTGGGAGAGCTCTGAGCTAAGACCAGTTTCCCTGGGGTGGGTAGAGTATGCTGTGGGCAGCAGCACCTCAGGATCCTAGGCCACAGCCCCACACGTATCACTGCCACCTCCCTTGGGCAGAGGTGGATCAAGGCTTAAACAATTTGAAAGAGGCCTCGTTAACAAAAGGATTATAATAATTCTCCACTTGCAAGTTATCCAAGTAGATACCTATGACACAAGGACCTTGGAAGTACCATGAAGGTGGGGACTGTGGAGCTTAAGCAGATCCAGATGACCCTATGCTGCCCTTGTTACAGCTCCAGAGGCCACCCAGGGCAAGGGTGGTGGAGGTCGGGGAGCCAGGGAAGCTGATGGGACTGGGGCAGAGGGACACATGAGGATGCTCCCTGGACCCATCAAACCCCTTTTCTGTTTCCTTGGAGGTTGTGTGTGACTCTCACCTCCATAGTGGTCCTCTCTGCCCCTCCCCTGAGAAGTGATACCCACCCGCTTCCAGACCCCACCCCACAAGCCCCAGCTAGTGTGCTTGTCAGAGATCCCCTCTCAGGAGCTCACCAGCCCTGACAGACCCTCCTCAGAGCTCAGCCCCTCAGCAGGGCTCTGTCCACAGGAGCCTACCTGGAGGCCTGCTCACTACAGCCTCTTTGAACAGCTGCTTTTCCCCTCCCTCTCAGATACTGCTGACCCTCCCTGTCCTCTTTAATCAGTCTCCCCTACAGACTGATCCTCCAAGTCCAGACAGGCCAGGATTCTTCCACCCTCCCTGTCCTCTTTAATACACTGCCTCAAGTTGACCACCTAAATGCGGACGCTCTAGGGCCCTTTGCCAAGATACAGGTTCCAAATGCCTGATGGAGAAAAGGCAAGAAACCAAACTTCCAAGAATGGATGCGGACACCAGTCCCTTCAGCTCTGGCCTGGGTCTAGTGCCCCTTGGTTTCCCATCTCCATCTATAACCAGCCCCTGTGCTCCCAGCGCAACACATGTGCCCCTACATTGCACCCTAGAGGCTGGATCCTTCACTAGAGACACTTTTACCAGGAATGGATTCTGGTCTGAGGGGCTGACTCAAACATCTCCTGCAACAGAACAATTTCAAGTGTCTGGAGCAAGTTGAAGATAACTCAGGTGGAGCACACCCACCACTGCCTCATCTTAGAAGGGAGCCCCATGAGAAAGGTCTAAAGAATAGGCACCCATGCTAGCATATCCTTAGTCAGAAGGACAAGTCCACCTCCTCTTGGACAGAAGAATTTGGTGTTGACAGGAGTAGACTAATTCTTCAAGGGGAATTTCCCCAATAACTCAGTCTGGCAAAGGAACAACAGGCTGAATCATCAGGTCACAGAGAGTCAAATTTTCTAAGAGCAATTTGTCCCTTAGCAACTACCAATTTTTTTAATGTTTGTTTTAAATATTCAAATATGTGAGGCTCTCCCAAATGTCTAAAGCATGACTTTTAATTGTTTGATTGTTTATTTGTTTGGTTGGGGTTTTTTTCATTATTATTTTAGTAGCAGGCATTGAACCCAAATATGCTTAACAACTGAGCCACATCCCCAGTCTCTTCTATTTTTTAATTTGAGACAGGGACTTTCTAAATTGCTTAGGGTCTTGCTAAATTGCTGAAACTGGCTTTGAACTTGCAATCCTCCTGACTGAGCCACCCACATCCCTGGAATTACAGACATACTATGCAGTACCTGGCTAAGCACAACATTTTCTTGAGTGGTTTGGGCTATAGCTCTCACAACATCAAAAGTTTTGTGATGGTCCATTTTGCATAGGCCTCCTCCTACTTCTGCTTCGTGAATTTCAGCTCATAGTATATGCAGTGCCCACAGATCCTGCACACACTGACCCCTCCCTGCCATAGGGGATCCACTCTCATCCAGATACTGGACTCTTGGCTCTTTAGTCACCAAGGGAAGACATTCCCAGCATAATGACCTTCATATATCCATGAGACAAGCAGGCTCCTGGTGGCCATCAGAGGGCCCATTGAAAGAGAACTTGAGGAGAGGTACTATTCATGGAAATGGGAACAGGCTTAGGGACCAATGAGCAATGGTGAAGCACCCAGTGAGCAGCAGTAGTGGCAGTTTTATCTCCTGTGTCTACAGGGGTAAGAGGGGCCTTCACAGCCTCCAAAAGGAGCCATGGCTATAAAAGAAAGGGTCAGCAGAAAGGAACCACCACCATTATTAGAGGAACAAAGCTGCCCCCAAACCATGCCCAGCAAGAAGGTACCTGGGGGAATCACTATTTCTCCCCCTGTCCACTTTCCTAGGATGTCCCCAGCAAACAGTCTTATACTGGATGTCCCAGACCATATCCGGAAAACAGTGTTCAGTTACCAAAGTGTGAAACCGGTCATATTCTAAGTTGTTTGGACAAAGGTGAGCTTCTATGAAGAAATCCTTAGCTTTTTCAGGGAAGGCCTCTGTTTTAAAATTAGCATCAAATTCTTTTGTCTTCCGGATTGACAATTGTGGTGCTGCATTTTTCTTCAATCGCAGTTCTCTCTTTCAGTCCTTCCTTTGAAAAAGATGACATTGGAGCACCACTCTCAGGAGGAACATAAGCATCAAAGATATCAGCTGCACAGGCCACATGTATGGGCCGGTCCAAACGTTCTGGGGGAATAAGCAATCCTGCTTTCCGGGCATGTTCTGTAAACTCCTTTTCTGTTTTGTATTTGGGTTCATAAGCAGGAGGTGTGAAATGTTCTTTAGTTCTTACTGGAACGACAGCTATAGACTGAGTCATCAAGAGGGACTGCCAAGACCACCATCCCTAAGCTTTGGATAAGCAAGACAACCTCCGAGGCATGGGGGCTGCCATTTTGTTCACGCAAAGGCCGCTGGGAAGGGGGCTCTGCAAGAAGAGTGTGAGGTGGGAGAGAAGGCGCAAAGGGTGGAGCTAGGTTGCGAGTCAAAACACACTGCTTTTAAATATGAGAAAGAAAACAAAAGCTACATTGCACATGAAGAAATCCTACCAAGATGGCCATGATGGAACAGGTTTATAATCCCAGCAATTTGAAAGGCTGAGGCAGGAGGATCACAAGTTTAAAGCCAACATAGGCAACTTGGTGAGGCCCCCAGCAAATTAGAGAGACCCCATCTCTCAAAATCAAAAATAAAAAGGGCTGGCGATATATCTCATTGATAAACCACCCTTGGGTTCAATCCTCAGTACAAACAGCAACAACAAGAAAAAATATGGAAATCCTACTTGACAAGTTTACTTCATAAAAGGCACATGAAAATGATTACACAACCTTCCAACATGAATTTTGAAAACAACTGAAGACACTTTATAAACAGTAGCAGTTATGATGGAAAAATGTAAGTCAGGATTACCAGAATTCTCAAATGAAATGGCCAGACAAGAGGAGTTGCAGGACGTACATAATACATGAGTAAATTAGAAGAAATATAGATAAGAATGCTGGGCATGGTAGTGCATGCCTGTAATCTCAGAGATTCAGGAGGCAGAAGCAGGAGAGTGGCAAATTCAAGACCAGCTTCAGAAATCTAGTGAGACTCTTCCTTTAAAAAGGGGGGTGGAAGGGGCTGCAAATGTAGAGCATTCCCAGGCTCAATCCCCAGTACCACAGAAAAGAAAGAATTGAAGGAAAGTAGGAAAGGAGGGAGGGAGAGAGGGAGGAAGGAAGGAAGATACAAAGGAAGACATTTTCAGATAAGAAGCACAAGAAAGTGGATAACACAGTAGGTAATTAAGGAACAAAATTTTTAAATCAAAGAAAAAAAGGAATCATAAGGAAATGCAGCATTGCGTGTGTATCATTTGGGAGTAAATGATACACGTGCAAACAAAGTAGGAAAGACCCACATACCCACACTTGGAATTTCAAAAGAAGGAAGCCAGGCAATGGCACGTAGTTAATATTTTAAAATAGAGCTAAGTATATATGTGAAAGGAGGCTCAATATCATTAATCATCAGAGAAATACAAATCAAAACTACAATGAGATAGCATCTCACATCGCCCATTAAAAATAATGGGTATTATTTTTAAAAATCAAAAGAGAACAAGTGTTGGT